CCTTACCTTGGTTACGGTATTTCGGGTTTACGGTACCGTTACCGTTACCGTAGTCGACGTTAGTACGTACTAACTACGTACGTCGGTAACGTGTCGATGTTATATATATATATATATATATATATATATATCGCAATATCGTTATCAGTCCTGGTTGTCAACTTATTGTCATAATGAATAATGTCTGTGGTAATAGCACCCAAATGTGTTGGGAATATCCCATCTATCAGACAATATCCAAACGCCGAAGTCAATTTAGTCAGCTGTCATGGAAAAAAGAAAATCAAATAAGGGTACAAAGCTGAGTGCTTACACCCACAATGTCTCAGCTTTCACTGTCTATAGCCAGTTATGGGAAAGCAGTTACCCTTAAGTTTCTTAAAGTAGAAATGAATTGAAATAAAGCCACCCTAATATTTCTACTAATTAAACTACCACCCTCCACCCTTACAAAAAGATATTAAATAGAACTATATTCCCTACCTTAAAAGTTCTTATATAGTACTAACTCCCAACTTTCTCCTGAAAATTGATTCAAGTATAACGTGGGAACGCCGAGACAAGCCCAGCTACTTGAAGCTAGTCTTTACATCCCAGTTATACTGAATATATTGGTTACTCGTTTGTTTCATTCTAAGTCATTGACATCTTTATTCATGTTCCTTGTCCAGCACCTTCCTGTCCTTTACTTGGCCTACCTATGGGTTTCTCCATTCATCATGTATGCTTGATGCTGTTGAAGGTACTTTGTCTGTCGAGCACTGGGACTACACATTCGTCTCCCATTATCTGTTTTGGTTAGTTGTTTCTTCCTTGTTGAGGTACCATCTTCCACCTGTTGCCATCCTTCACTCTATGGTGAGACCGTAACTGGATAAATTTTCTTTCTTTTGTTGTAAATATATACATATTATCTTCAGGTGCCTGTCCAGGTATACTTCAATCACTTAGAATTGTACTAAAACCAGCACTGTAAAGGCCATGTTGATTTCACTTTCATAATTTCCATGGCCACAAAACGCACAATGTTCATTACAATCACATAAGCTAGAGATGGGGTGTTCCACAAGATTGCTCATAGGTTATTCTTTGCTATATCTTTTTTTTGCTTCGTAAGTATGCCTATATTAGACAGTATTAACCGATGTACTTCATGGGTAAAGCAAAAGGAGATTTCTGCCCATACCTAACATTCCTTAGATTGAATAAATTGGGTTTGGTCTGCTTTTCAAAATAGGGTTTCATGGTCATCCATTGCACTGTCTCCAGTGTGAATGTTCCTCCAGACTCTCCACTGTATTCCCCCATTTTTTCCAATGGAGTAAGAGAGTCATCACCACTTTCCAGTTCCAAGCTGACGCAGTGGTGGACATGGAGGTATCCTTCTGAATGAGAGATATACAATATAAACAATAATGACTACATTCAGCTGAGAGCAAGGTGGTGGTGTTCTGCTAGTGCAGATGACGAGATGTCCTCCAAAGGGATGCTCCATCTCTGCATGTGTTTGTCCGAGAGGATGTTGTACCTTTGGAGTGCACTGTTATAATGATTGGGATCCCTCATCCTACCCCAACATGGATGTCAGTTCCCGGTGGTTGAGTTTTGGATTTAGAACTGAACCAGTTACCACATGTCCTCACATATGTTATGTGATTGGGATCCCATCTTACCCATACATGGATTTTGGTTCCCAGCAGTTGAGTTTTGGATTTAGAGCTGAACCAATGAACATCATTTCCTCATGCATGCCATGCAATTGGGATCCCTCATCCTACCCCCGTATGGATGTCAGTCTCGGTGGTTGAGTTTTGGATTTATAGATGAATTAATCGACATGATGTAGCATGATGGCATAAAAGCAGTTCAACCCTTTGATTGGGATCAGTTATCCTACCCCCATATGGGTGTCAGTTCCAAGTGGTTAATTTTTGGATTTAGAGCTGGACCAATCAACATAAGTCCTCACACATATGTCGAGTGTGACCCTGGTCCCGCACTCAATTTGCTTCGAGTGCACTAACCTAGTGTTATGGGTTATGATAGGTGCACTTGTTGGTTGCTACACTTTTTCTTCTTGTGCTACCCCTGGATGTCTTAATGCCAAGGATATTACTGTATTTGATTTGGTTCTGGTCTGTTTGATTT